TATATATATATATATATATATATATATATACACACACACATATATATATATACACACATATATATGTATATATATATATATATGGATAATCAATGACTGGTTTTGGTTACTGTTAATTTCCTTTCTGTTTATGAATGATATAGTATGTTGGATAATGTTTCTTTTCATTTATGCCCTTAGTGAAGCATTGAAGGGTGTGTGTGTGTGTATATATATATATATATATATATATATATTAAGCAGAAACTAGTTAGAAATATCTACTATAAGCGTAATACTTGCAGTCACAACACTACTTGACTGTGAATGTAAAGTCTACATTCATGGGAGCACTGAGCAGCCATGAGTGACAATCAGCTATTCCATCATCATTGTCCTGTCCCCATTTCCACACGATTTCACCGCTTCCCTTAATTAATTAATCTAGATATTTGAGAATTTTCGATCTAGGTAGAAACTGTTACATCTTGCTCTATATTTTTGATTGTTTATGGCTTCTGGATACTCAAAAGAAATCATACTTCTTACTCATAATCAATTCTTCCAAGTTATAATCCCTTTCTTTAATTGTTTTTAACTAACTGTTTATTTTATGGATCTTATTTTAAGGTTAGTTTTCTTGATATAATGACGTAGAATCTTTTGCCTCTTTATTGTTTTGGTTATTGAACAAAATCCCCCTAGATTCTCGGTTCACTAACCTCTGTGTATACTCAGTTGATTGATCGCTGGAGAGGCAGTAACTTTCCATAAGACAATGGTCCATTCTACAGTCGCTACATAAAATCATTTCGCTGGCAAAAATGTTCAAAATCAAAATATAGTTACAAACCTGACAAGGGTTTTCCTCTAACTGTAAGCCTTGTAACTTAACAGTCCATCATAGAAATCATTATAGAAGATTTATTCGAGTACAAAAGGATCCTCCCTTATCCCTTTGATTTTGGAGCCACATCATAATCTACTTCCCTGGAGAGATAAATTAATCGAACTTTCCTTTTTCATCACGTTAGTGATCCACACCTCCCATTGATCAGTTTTATGTGTTTGTCCCCAATTCCTGAACGATATGCTATAATTTCGTCCCACTGTAACAAAATCAAGATTATAGGATATTAAAAATGTATAAATGTCCTAATAGACTGTTTTATAGAATATAAGTTCATATGACCAAACAATTGTGTGTCATATATAAAAAAAAGGTGTTATATAGGGCGTTTTGGATGTCTTAACACAAGTTTTATATTACATTTTTGAAATAAATTGTGCTACTAATTTTTTATGAAACTAATTATTTGAAGAATAAAATGTCTTATAAAAACAAGTGTCCTATCAAAATATGTGTTTTTCAAATACGTCTCAAACAAGCACACACCTTCATAATTTAATTCAACATAGCTTGCGCACAATCATATCCACACAGAGTGGTACGTAGTAAGGAATTAATTGATCGTGTCACAAAACGATCTTTTAATCGATATATCTTTATTAATGTGTCGAACCACGTTATGTGTCGTGACCATGAAAGGAAAACCGACACATCAAGCTACGTTTTTTTTACCAAATAATATATAACTAACTGAATAAAACTAAAGTATTTCCTTGTAAATTGAGTATATTTTGCATTTTTCATAATTACATCAAGCGTTTTGCCACATCTACCACAAACCAATCATACATACTGATACGTAAACCTAGGAGGACAAACACTGCAATTTTGGCCACTTCATGAATTTTAACGAGAAAAATGAAATAGGTTTACATACGTTATAAAAATGAAGGTTTAGTTGGTTAGGAAAATATGGTTTTGCTTACACAATCGATAGAATATATGAAAAGGAATCCGTCATTTAAGTTCGGTTAATTTATCCATCATTTCCTATATTTAGGTATATATGAAAAGGAATCCATATCGTTTAAGGTTATATACCTAAATATAACCGATTTTGTTACAGTGGGAGGAAAAGGAATCACCTTAAGGTTAATTTATCCATCATTCCTGAACAATACGCTAGAATTTCCTCCCACCGATATGCTAGAATTTTCTCCCACTATAACGAATTTGGCCACTTCATCATTCAAGGTTATATACCTAAATATACCTAATTCGTTGCAAATGTAACTGTTAATGAAATGATATCACATTCATTCACCTTCAACAAAGAAAATGCTTGTTAACAAAACCAGTATTATCAATTGCACATATAGGTGGTACAACAGACATGTCAGATAACAAGTTAAACCGTCTTTTTAAGTCAAATGAGTACAAAAAATATAAAGCGAACCAAAATCAGTTCGGTTAACAATTTCCTTGCCAATTTCTTGTAGTTTAATTAAAAAAACTACAAGTAACTTCAAATAAAAAAGACAAAAAGTTAAGAACGTAAAAATAAATAATTCATATATGAATCATTGGTAAAAGAAAACATATACATCTTCATATGTGAAAAGGTAAATAAGTAAATATAGATTCACATATGCATCTTAAATTGATTTTTTCAGATTTACCAATGATGCAAATATATATGAATCGTTTTTTGGTACGTTTTCGACCTTTTTTGCTTTTTTAATATGAATTTTCCCCTAAAAACTAATATATCAAATATGGTGGCAAAAACCATTGAAATAAATCTTCATGGAGAGAGAAGAAATCTTTAAAATTAAATTTTGAAGGAGAGAAAAATATTCATGTTATTTATTTTGGAGGAGAGAGAAGATAAAATTAATATTTTATAAAAAGTTTGTTGAAATATTAATGTATTGAATATTATAATAATAAAGAGTAAATTACATTCTTGGTCCGTGTGGTTTGTTGGTTTTCCCTACCACGATCCTTCAAACGCGTTTATTACATTACATGTCCCTGTGGTATGCAAAGACACACGTTCTAAGTCCCTCCCTCTAACGAAATTTGTTAACCCAATTAACTCAAGGCCCATTTTCATCTTTTACCTTTTTTTGTCTTTTTCTATTTTGTTTTATTTATATTATATATACTATTATATATGTGTGTGTGTAAAATACAGAAAGTCGTCACTCCTTTCCTTTAACATCACCGTAGGCCATCACCTCCGACCACCTCTTTTACTTTCTCTCTCTTCATCTCTATTCTCTTACACGCATACGACCCCACCTCCATCGTGAAACCCATCTCTGGCATCCTCCTTTTATCGACCTTTGCGGGCTCACAACAGAAGCAATGTGAAACACCACCCACCTTCATCTCTGGCTAACCCATCGCCACCACCAAGTCCACCTCTATCTCCATTCTCGTACACACACAAAACCACATTTACCTCCTTTGTCCTCTCCCAACCTGCCATCTTGTTCATCTATCCTTGAACCCACCTCCCTTTCTCGTCCCAACATGAAACACCTTCAATCCATATCAAAATGAGATACCGATAGAAGGGAGAAAAGTGGCAGGTGGGGGATGGGTCTCGATAGAGGGGTGGTCAAACTGTGGGTATTGGGCGTCGATGGAAAGGTGAAGAAGGTGGCTATTTGTGTTGGGTTTTACAGGAGATGCAAGAGACGCTAGAGTTGGGTTGTATTTCACGAGGACAATTATATATATGTGTGTCTGTGCGCACGGGCGTAATCTATTAAAAAATAAATAAAAATATATAATATATGTTAGAGTTAATTACATATTTGGTCCCCGTTATAAAAGACAAAAAAGATAGAGTAAAAGATGAAAGTACCCTCAACCTTAATTGGGTTAACGGAATTTTTTTAATTATGTTAAAGGGAGGAACTTGAGGCGTGCGTTTTTGCATACCATATCTTAGTCAAACATACCGCAAACCACAGGGACCAGGAATTTAATTTACTCCAATAATAATTATGTGTAGAATCTAAAAAAAAATGGAGAAACCGTTGAATTTGAATCAATTTTTTTGGAGATTTTAAAATTTTCTTATACTTTTGAAAGAAATTACAGAGAACTTATCAGCAGCACCTCCCATGGAAAGACTGCCTATTTCCAAGATTAAGATTGAATTCAGAAGCAGCCAAAGTTGGTAGTCAACATCATCATATCCATAATAAATAGAACTAGTGGCCAAGAAAAAAGAGAGAGAGGCTACTGATTATATACACAGACCTAATTTTCAAATGAGAGGAGGAAGATAAGGTGAAGAAGAAGAATAGTTTGTGATGGCAATAAGAGCTTACATTACTACATTGATTTCATCCATTCAAGCAGCTGAAAACACTCAAGAAAAAGGCAATGGTTTAAGCTTCAGAAGGAAAATGGTTACAGAGAGTAATGGAAGAGGAGGAGAAGGAAGAAGAACACTCCTCCTTTCAGCCATGGCTGCTGCCACACAAGTTAATGACTCCAAGACTGAGCTTCTTCAAAGTATGCCTCCCTCCCTCCCTCCCTCCCTCCTTCCTGAATTCATATATATATATACATATATACACACACACACACACACATTATCTATATAGCTCAAATGAAAATGTATGAAAGAAAATGCTGCTATAAATGAGTAACCTGACTCACATATGATGCCTTTTTTACTCAGAGTACCTGAAGAAATCAGAGGAAAACAAAACTAAGAATGATAAGGAGGTAAACAAGGGGTGTTGATCTTTGCATTAATTTTCTTGACTATCCTTTCGAATAAAATAATTATCCAACACGTGTTTATCCATAATTAGATTACCCACAAGTATCCCATTGTTGGTTCGGATATGAATGGTGTATAGTATTTTCCAGTTGATGGAATGAAAAGGAAAAGCAAAGATGTTGATTGTGATTTAATTAAGTTTACAAGTTTTGACCATGAGAAGTCCGAATGTAGAAAGATGGTGCAATAAGCTACCCATTATGTTTCATCAAGATTATCTATATATAACTTATGCTGATTCTATGTTTCAATTACTTCAATTGCAGAGACTAGACAGCTATTACAAGCGCAATTACAAGGACTACTTCGGGCTTGAAGAAGGCACACTTAGACAGAAGAAAGAACTTACAGAAACAGAGAAGAGTATTCTTGATTGGCTTCAAGCTAACAAATAAAATGTACCCTCTTCCAAACGATGCCATTTCAATTCGATTTAGAAGAAGATCATGTGCTACTAGTGAGCAAGTTATCTGTTGCTTTGCATTTTAGAATAGAATCTCCATTTACATATACCTTCTCTTTTCAACTTCTAAGCTCTACCCTGAGAGAAAAAAGAGCTAATATTATGGTTGTCACAACAAAATTCAAATCCCATAACTCAGATCAAGTAGAGACCTTTCTTACATTTGCAGGAGTCTTATCATGCTTTAAATGACCAACACAAAAAGTTCCAAGATTTCAAGTCATTCTGTCAAGAATCCGCTGAATCTGATCATAAACTATGTTTGCAACAATCTCAGGAGAGAATTTATGGATCATATCCTCCCTGGCTTTCTTACCTTTACTCTTAGCTTCCTCTGGATTGTTCATCACATGCCTCATCAGAAGCCTTAACTTATCAACAGAAGGCTCTGCCCACAAATGCCCTTTGAATGGCCCATCAATAACTTCACTCAGTCTATCGACGGGAAGTGGGTAGCTGTTCTCTTCATTCAAATACTCTGTTGGTCCTGACCAGTTTGTTGCAATCACTGGTAGAGACATAGCCATTGCTTCCACAATAGGCCTGCCCCATCCTTCACCTCGAGATGGCAAGATAAAAGCATCAGCTGCTTTATAAAGTCCCGGAAAATCAACTTGAGCTATGTGAAAATCAATCACATAAACTGGAGCCCAACCATCTACGGGTTTCTCCAATCTGGAATTCTCCACGAAATCCATAATCTTGTTCCCGAAATCTCTATCAGAATGATAAGGATTTGTTAACAAGTATAAACCAACACCGTCAAGAGAACTGAATTCTCTGAGGTAAGATTGTAGCAACACATCCCAACCTTTTCTATGCTCCCACTTGAACACACTCAAGAAAACAAATGGGTTTCTAGAATTCAATCCCTTTAAACCTGAACCGAGTACCAAATTCCCTAAAGATGCAAGATTCAATGGGATGTACTTGATTGGATCAAAGAACTCTGTATCTACAGCCTGCACAACTTTCACAACCTTTGACGGATCAACCCCACTTTGTACAAAAGAAGATACATGGAATTCAGTAGGAACCCACACCATATCCATGGCGTTACACCGCTTTACATGCTCCGGATTCACCCTATCCGTCTCAAACATTGTTCGGCCAATAGCAAATTTGCTGTTTGTTGGGGGACAAGGTACAGTTTGAAACAATGGAGGATTCCAAGCACCAGGCTCACTGTGACAAATCACAATTGACTCCTCCAATCTACATTGAGTTTCATAGAGCTCATAAGCTAATCTTTTCATCTCTAGAGGCAAACCTCCCCAAAAATGAGCATTCTCACCATCCCCGTGTTGCCCAATACTTAATCTTAAGCTAGTGCTTTTATGGTACTGATTAAGAGCTAATACATAAGACCAAGCTTCAGAACAATATCCACCACCAGAAGCAAAAGGAGCCATCCATAGCACACAGGGATTAGAAACCAAATTAGGGCTTGATGACGCAAATTCATCAGGGTCCAAGATTGAGCGATTAAACCCTAGAATTCTCAAAATAGGCGAAAAGAGCGGCGAGATGGTCGATTTTAGGTATTGAGTTCTGATATAATTTGTTTGTGGGATGGTGAATGAGATTGAAATTGCAATGAAGATAACCAAAAGGGAAAACAAACAGGAGGGTTTCAAAATTATCCGCGGAGTGTGATTTCGTGGGTTATTGGAATTCATAATGTGGCAGTGATGAAACTCTATCAAATCAATATCTGCATAATGTGTTCTTCAGAGTGTGAGTGAGTGTGTGTGTGTGTGTGTGTGTGAGAGAGAGAGAGAGAGAGAGAGAGAGAGAGATGAACGGAACCAGAGAGAGGCTCTATCCGGCTCCGCTGTTTCCATCCATGCGTTTTAACGGAAAACTTACCATCCGGCTTTTTAACCGTCTCGATAATTAATCAAACCAAATCTATTTAATTATGGATTTGTTATTGTGATTTAAGTTATGTAAACGGTATTTAATTTATTGATTTTGAGGTAAAACTGTTCTATTAATAGTTAAACAATTTCATAGGTTTAAATTGGATTTATATTCTCAATATTTTTGCATCAGAGTCCTTTTTTAGAAACTCATTAATTGATACAAATTATAAATCTGTTTTCATGCACTACTTTTAGACCCCATTTATTAATCTCTTACCACCTTTTACCATCTCTTACCTATTAAGAGATGTTTACCTGAGTAAGAGGTAAAAGTGTTTACTAAAAAACAAAATCAATCTCCCTTTGACCGTCCTCTTACTGGGGTCAGCAAAAAAAAAAATAAAGTTTACCATGGTAAGAGGCATGTATTCCTTATCTAACCTCCCCATCTAAAACTCTAAATCAGTGAGCTCTTCTTCATACAAATTGGTGAGACAGCTTCTTCAGGTATGGTAATCGATTTCCAAGAGATTTCTTCTTCTTTTTCTTCATTTCTAACATACCAAGATTTGGTAATCAATTTCTTGATTTAATAAATCTGCAAAGAAAAGAAAAGGGGATCTTCGTGAAGCTTCATACAACCAGCCGACTCTAGGTATTCGATTTTCTTCTATGTTGCTACAAATGGGTTGATTTTTTTTGTCATTCTCTGATTTATTTTCTACAAAAGTGATGGTGTATGTACTGAATCTGTTCTAATGGTCCCCAAAAACCATAGGAGTTCAATTGTTATTAGCAATTGACACTACAAAAGCAACTTTGAGCTCACCTCTAGTGATAAACCCACTGTACGAAGAAGAAATAAAAAAAGAAGATGTTGCTACTAGGAAGAAAACACCACAAAAGGGTTTACCATTGAAGAAGAACACACAAAAGCCCAATCTACAAACGAAAAATGCTCACCGTCTAGGTTCAAATTTCATCTAACTGATGAAGATGAACAACTCATTACTTGTTACCTCCTCATGAAACTACAGTTTCACCATGTCTTTGACGTTTTCTTGGGTACACGCAGAAAAAACAAAATGATGGTTCAAATTTAAAAGAAAAGCAAGTGTGAGAGGAAGCAATAGTGTTGGATTAGGGTACGAACCTTAATGATGAACCTAGTTTCTAGGATGCAGCTTTGCAGTTTTAAAAAATAGTCACTGCCTGCAATCCAGCTTATATATGGATATACTTTTGTATCTATAGATGTACATACATGCTTATATACATATATTGTACACGTACTACATGTACATCTACACATACATAGATACAAATACATATACAGTACAAACAAAAAATACAGACAGAGATGTACCCAACACCTATCATATATGTGTACTCTCTTTCTCTTCGTCTCCCCCCTTCTCTTCTCTTTTCTTCTCTTCTCTTAGCTCACAATTAATCTGGCAAAAAAATGTGACTGACAATTTCTTTATTGATTGGGAAAACATAACCCAATTGATCAAGAAACACAAATCTAAAGGGATGAGTGGGCAAGTTCAGAAGATGGAAGCCACACCCTCTTGGAAATTTAGTACTGAAGCCATGTGCTCCCAATACTGGAAGTTGTACATGTGTGTTTTTGGTCATTAGTAGATAGTGTTCTTTCATATGTAAAAAGTTCAATATTTTTTTTCCACATAATAATTCCAAAAAATTTACATGTAAAACCATATTTTCCACACAATAATTTCAAAATTTTACATGTAAAATTACATTGTATAAACACTTTACATTCACACGTGAAGCCTCACTAAAAAACTGTGTTGTAAGTTTATACGATTTACAAACGGTTGATTTAGACATTGAGAGGTGATGTGAATGAAAAACCTTGAAATATTACAACCATTAAAATTAAAGGGTGGGTAATTACATCCTTATATATTGATTGCTAAATACATCCCTACCAATAAATTTCTTCTTCACACACATCAACATCAAGACTTATTTTTTATATTCTCAAAGCATGAATTGATTTGATTTTGACATCAAAGAAGTGTAAATAGCATTGTCCTTGTTAAACCCCTTTGAGTTTTAGTTCTTTATAACTTATGCATCCAATGCAATGCAAGTCTTGAACTCAATTATTTTTGGGTGATTGATATGTGCAAATTGCTGTATCCAAAATAAGTCGTTTTTTATTAGCAACTGTATCCAATCGTCCAAGAACGATAAACTGAAATTGAATATTTATATCGTTTTTACACATAATTTACACATCACACTTTGAAATTGAAGATGGAAGAAGAGAATGGAACATGAACCGACTACATTTTGGAATGGATGCGACCCAAGCTTGCTTCTATTGATCCATGTGGTTCATCTGTCGGCAGGTACACATCGTCTTCAAACTGTCAAAATGCAACAACATTACCACTTTCATGTGATATCCGAATACTGAAATTATTGCAATTTTCATCTAGAAAACCTAACTCTACCTTCACAATAACTGGATTGTCTTTGCTTGATAAATTTACTGGCAGAAAATGAATGTTGGGCATTTTCAACTGGATTGATGATATATCTGGAAACCTGAAATTATATGCAACCCAAAATATCAGCATCTCAAGGCCACATCAGAATTTGGTTCTGCTTCATAGTTGCTGATTCATGAGTTCAAACTTAATCATTCAAAATAAAAAGTTTAATGTTTTCCAAAAAGAAGTTTAGGACTAAACCGTTCAAAATGGAAAAGTTGGTTGGGTTTTTTTTTTTTTTTAAACTTTTCCCAAATAAAAACTACTGTGAAATTTACAGATCACACAACAGGATTTGATTAGTCAAATGCAATGGCATTTCAAGCAGGATTCCTAGTTGCTAACAGGATTTCCATTGTTTCCCTTCATGAATCGAAATGAAATGCATGCTTGAAATGGCAAGCGTGTAATTGTTAAGTGTATGCATATATAATAAAGGGAGAGACCTGCCAAGAACAGCTTTCGCCATGTAATAAAGAGTTGCCTGAACAGATGGGCTGTACACGCCTTCTTTAGGAGGACCAAAAAAAGTGTTGACTAAAACCTTCTTGACATCCAAGTATGTTTCAGTGAAGGGATCCATGCTAACACTTGATAGAGAGTCAAAATGGTATCTGCATTCAGAATCATCACCATTAGATGGCTAAGAAAAGCTCTCAAGTGTTGTCTCTTTAAGGGAGATCCCGATGCACCAAAACTTCAGCCTTTTCTCTCTTGAATTTGTAAACCACCTTAGAGTGAAACAGTGTAAACCAATTCTCACTCTTTCGATGCATAAATTTACCTCCATGATGCAGAGACCTCGGTAGCAAGCATCCTCTCTCGTGTTTCAGGCAGTATCGTGTTTTGATCGCGTATAAAACCCTCAAAACCTGACTGTTATTTTAGACATTTCAAAAAAGTTCCCATTAAGCAGAAATAGGTGGGGTCAACAAAGAATCACCAAAGCAACAGAAACAAGTCTTTGACAGGAGGCTTCAAGGGAGGAAGTATCTTACTTTTGTTGTTTTCAGCAATGCCAATCCCTCAACACCAGAAGTCACCCCCAAAGCGCCATTTTTCTTTACAAAAACTTCGGTCGTATGTCTCTCAGATCCAAGTTTAAAACCTTCGAAATTTAAATTCTATGAGTTATTTTTTTTTTACTAGAGTGTAAGACTTGTTATATTTAGACAAATAATCATCCTTAATGGGAACTCAAAACAGCCTTTCAGATTATGCATCCTACTGTCCAAATAAAATATACCAAATGGAATGAGCTTATGCATATAACACAATCCACATATTAGACACAGCATGGGTACTTTTGTTCAATAATGTAATTTCTTCCCAGGAAAAAACATCCGTGTATTACAAGCATGTTGCTATGGAATTCAGCTTCCTATCCAAGGATTTCGTTAAATAAAGCAACGCAACACATGGCATTTACTATTTGTGAGAGAAAAAATTGATAGTACTGCCTTCGTCCCAAAATAAATTCAATGTTTAACTACCATGTTGACCGAACATATAGACAAGGAAAAAGTTCAACTATTGTTAGATATCTAAAATATCCTTTAATAAAGACAAAATAAGAGGAATATAGTGAACCAATAGCAATGCTATCCACATTAATGACTAAGAGGGTGTTTGATTAGATGTATTAAGCAGTCTTCAATGGGATTGAATATTAAAAGAACTGGTTGGTTTTATATAATATGATGAGCTCATTCCCCTACAAGCCCAAATTTTTCATTCCAGATTAAACTAGGAGGAATGAAAACTCATTGCCTATCACTGTCAATTTCATTTTCATTTTTATTCCCTTGTCTGAACCAAATAGCCCCTAATAATGCACAAAAGAAGCATGCATAAAATTGTCCAAAGGGGAAATTTTGCATATAACTTGAGAGAAAGGAATAGCAAATAAAGAAATAAATAGAAGATGACCAAAGATGGCAGCCAACAGAGAGGTAAAATTCTTAGCAAAAAGATGGATGTCAAAGTAAAGTTGGAAAGATGATGTGTCTTAACTAATACTCCTTCAACCTCATAAAGGAGTCCAGTTTGGTATCTAGAAGCAACTTAAAGATGATTTTTTGGACAATCTTACACATGATAAATACGAATTAACAAATTGTTATTTATGCACTTGTTAGAAAGATAACCAGATCTCTTTGTAGCATTGAACTTAACTTCACGTTAAACTTACTATGGGACGTATTTTAGGACAAAGACAGTTTATAAAGTGGATTCTTGTAAAATTGAGGCAATAACTTGCACAAGTGAAGCACAGAACTTTCTAACCATGATCATGGGGTTGACCATCTATGCTGACACGCTCCCATGGCTTTTCGACTATCTTGATGATTGCAGTGGTCACCTACAAAACAAGCCAAATGGATTTTCTTAAGAACGAAGAGTTATAATGATTGCTCTTGTTGTGTGACAGATTATATCACGAGAGGGAATTTCCAGCACTGTTTGCAGTATAATCAATATATCAAGTATCAAAGACCTTACTACCAACTAAGTTTACCTGTTGATAGAATGATGTAAAGTGCTTAGCGAGTATAATTGCAAATTGCTCCACAGAAACTTTTTCTGAACACTCCTTTGCCTTCACATATACCTGCAATACCATCAGCCATTCAACATTACATGCAAAAGCGTAAATATAGGAAGATCAGCAAGTCTAGTGGGCAAAAAGATCATTACGCAAGATAAACAAAGAGAAATGCAGATGTGAGATATTAGGGTTCATTATGTGTGTCCATTTATTTTCGTTCATCTTTCAACAGATCAAATAGAGATCAGATGTGATCATAGCAGTCTCCTAGTCCTCAAGTTGGGGTATTGGAATTCATTTAGCCTCTATTTGGGGGTTTTTGTAGTGTTTTTGGCATTTCTAAATGTTTTGAGCAGGTCGTTAGAGATCAAAGACTTCCACACCGTGAAGATGGTGAACTGACCGAAGTTCTCTAAGCGCTACACCACTTTCCGTTGTCCTGTAGGTGATCGGAATCGAGATCCGACATGATCATTTCTATAAATCATCCTCAAAATCTTAAAACCAAAAAAAAAAATTACTGCTGAAAACTAGATCGTGGGCTATAAAAGGATCGTAACAATAAGATCAAATCATCCATAAATCACTAACATCGACCACAAGAAAAGAAAGAGTAGACAACGTACAGTGTTTTTCATGGTATCGGTTGCGACGATGTCGGAATTATCGGCGTGGACGTAGGCGGGAATACAATCGGAGAGGAGAGTGATACTGACGTTCCATTCGACGAAGAAGTGAGGGCCCTCTTTTCCGTGTCTCCAGACTCTACCAACTCTCACCCGCTCCTTTCCATGCCTCTGCTGGAAGTTGAGTCCATCGATTTGATCTTTGGCCGCCATGAGTATCCCCCAATCAAGCTCCAATTTAGCGAACTATTTACTATTATAGTGGGGTACGGCACGGAAACCATTGGCTGGCGTGTGTGAGGCCTAAAACCACGAACCCCCCCCCCCCCCCCCCTCTTTCAAATTTCTTTTTCGGGTCAATTATTTTATTTAACACTTGGTTTGTTTTTCCCAATATTTTACATCAAAGGGAATGGCCTCTTTTCAAAACAAAAAAATACTTTATTTTTTTTTCTTTTCTAAGTTTTTCTTATTTTAATATTTGTTTTTAATTTTTGATATTTACATTTAAGATTCTTTAATTATGTTGTTTCAATCTATTCATATTCTCTCTAATAATTATTCTTTTAACTCTCATTATTTCTCTCTATTTGGTTATAACTTTTCATCTTCTCTTCCTGTAGTCTCTCAATTCTTTCTCTCTATTCATGTATAATTTTGTGTTACATCTATATGATAATCTCTCTATTAATCTCTTAATTCTTCCTCTATATTCATATGTAATTTTGTGGTATACCTCTATGATAATCTTTAGATTTTTCCTCTCTATTCAGTTATAAGTTTGTTGATGTGATTTGCATTTTTGTTGATTTGAGGTGTCATTCAATAAGACAAATCATAATATAGGTTTTTGCTTATGTAAGTATATTATTTCTTTTTTTTAGTATGGGACATTCACATTAAAGTTGGAATTATGTAGGCATATGGATTTTTGTGTGTGAATAAAGTGGCATATGAATCCTTTAAGAAACAATGTAACATTGTTTAAGCATAATATCTCTCTTAATCTCTCAATTATTCCTCTCTATTCAGTTTTTTTAGGTGATTTGCATTTTTGTTTATTTGAGATGTCATTCAAGATGAGAAATATAATATGGGTTTTTGTTAATATAAGTATATTATTTTCGTCTTTTAATTAGAGACATTCACACTAAAATTGGAATTATGCAAACATATAAATCTCTCTGTTAATCTCTCAATTCTTCATCTCTATTCAATTATAATTTTGTGGAGGTTGTTTGTATTTTTTTTGAGGCGTCATTCAATAAGACAAATCATGGTATGAGTTTTTGCTTATGTAAGTATATATTTTGTCTTTTAGTCGGATAATTCACACTAAAGTTGGAATTATGCAGGCATATGATTTTTTTTTTGTGTGGATAAAATGACATATGAATCTTTGATGAAATAAGGTAACATTGTTTAGCATAATAATCTCTTTTAATTTCTCAATTCTTCTTCTTTATTCAGTTTTTGTGGATGTGATTTTTTTTTTTTTTGATTCGAGGCGTCATTCAAAAAAACAAATATGATATGGTTTTTTTTATGTTGATCGGTCTATTGTGATTTTTTCCTTCTTTAGCATTGAGCTTGAAAATTATTTTATAATATTTTTAATTCTTAAAGAATAAACCAAACATAATGAGGTGTTATCCTCTAAACATTAGAAACCCATTTTTTTTTCTTAGATTTTTTATTTTTTAAAATATTTGATATATGTAAAAGACGTTTTCATCCCTATATTTAAAATATGAAATTTATTAGGATAAGGTTGTTTTATCCAATAATGAAAATGAAAAGGTTGAAGGTTAATTTTTTTTTAAAATTACCAAAACAATCTTATCCTCATGAATTTCATGTTGTAAATGTAAAGATGAAAAATTCAAGTTTACTATCATAGTACTAATTTATGTATTATTTTTCCTCTCTGTCACTTGATGTATTATTCATTTTCAAACCCTTTTTTCTTCAACAATTTATTATTTAAGGTAATCTTTTATTTTATTTGTCCGTCAATTGACCTGTTCTTTCATTTTATAAACTTTTATTATTCAATAAGATCATTTTTCAGGTTTATTATGAGATACTAATTTAAGTATTATTCTTGACTTTTGTTGGGATTTTAGAGTTTATTTTTTTATTTTTTTCTTCTATATTTTTCTTAAGTTTTTTTCAATGGAATTGAGAATTTGTTCTTGACAACAGTTATAGAGTTTTGATGGCTACAAATATATGATATAACCTCAACAAACTTCAATATGTTTTTTTTCAATTGTTATTCTTCTTCCAGATTAATACAAGAAGACTAATCCTATATTCTTTTTCGACTTTTGTTGGAATTTTAGAGTTCTTTTTTTCCCTTCATATTTTATATTTTTCCTAAATTTTATTAATCATTTTATTTACATGATACTTGAATATAATAATATTTATTTACATAACAATTAAATATAATAAAAAAACTTATTATAATTGATATATATATATATATATACACACACACATAATTAAAATGAAGATGATGATTAATCACATTAATTTAGGGGCCGTTTACTAAACGCTTACCCGAGTAAGTACTTACCAAGTCACATTACCTTTTTTTTTTTTTGTAAGGGTGTCCGGGCCAAAGCCCGACTAATCCCCGGCAAATTTGGAGGCCAAACATGGCCTCACTTAAATGTCGCCAACACTCCTCTCCCAGGGTTCGAACTCGGGTTCATGACTATGTCATGCCCAAGCCTTTACCACTAGGCTGGAAGGTCTTTGAC